CGAGCAGTGTTGTAATGTTTGCACAACATAGAAGCAATAGACGGTGACAGCTTGATGTCGCCCATATTCAATGATTTCGAGAAGGTGATGGCAGTATCCGTCGAATTGTCAAATGCAATTGTCCTTCTTTTTTCATAGCTGTTACATGCAATATCCAGCATGATATTTTCCGCTTGTTTTGCAACTTGACTACAGCCATGGATCCTCTTCTTGATCATTTGGATCCTTCTCTCCAAAACACGGCAACTGTACTGAGGCATGGGGCCTATCTTTCGAATCACCATCGTGATATGCTCCAAATAATGTTCACTGATTGGAAAGAATTTTGCTGAGATGTGAAGACGAAGAAATTGGTGCCACTTGGTTATTAGTTCCTCCAACTTTTGTATCTCGCTCTCAGATATATCCTGCTGCAAGCATACTGAGCAAATCAGAGATATTGTACGTAGGGCTTCCTTGGCAGCTTCAGAGACAGTAGGATCCAAATGGCATAAATCAACGTGGTCGATAAGAACTGTGGGCACAAAGTACTTCAGGAACACCAACCAATCTACTCCTCGAGCTGTCCCTCCCTTGCTGAAGACATCCATGAAATTGCCTTCGAAGATCAAAGGTGATGTGCTTGCAAGTTGGTTCAAGCAAATGCTAATCTTCTCTATTTGTCGCGGCTTCAAGCGAAGAATCGATTCCTTGTCCGTAAACATTTTCTTGATTCTTGGTCCCATGTTTTGTCCAAACAAATGAAATTCATCCAAGCCCACAAACGTTGGATCAATGAATGATGGCAGGTTTCGAAACAAAGAAGGCCTCTCGATACCAAGTTCTGGTGCACTGGATTTGTATTCTTCAATTGTTAGCAATCGTAGTGGTCGATCTTCATCATTAGCTGCTAGTTGAAAAGAAATAACACCATTTTTGCTGATGCCAATGATCGTACAAAAACGGCAGCCTTGAAGCGACGTATGGGATGCGAGGAAATTGAGTTCGCTGACGCTGGGGATATCACCAAAGGATCCCATGAGGTGGACTTTGAGCGAGATATTTGTTGAGTTGTTTCTCTGCACTTGTAGTCCATCACGAGCCAATTTTTCCAATTCGCTGACAAGGTATTGAAGGTAACTGTCTAATCTCTTGGTGTTTGGGATAATGGCGAAATCAATCAGGAACTCCATTTTGTATCTATAGGCAGAAGGAAGGTTCAAGATTTGTAGCATGACCAAGTTCAACTTTGCACCGCCTTTTTTGTGTGATTGGAATCCATCTACGTACAGGGACAGGCCAATGTCGTATCTATTGTTGAATAGATGCTTGTTGTTCACTAAATTTTGCATTATATCGCCCTTGAACCTTGCTCTGATGGATGAATTCTCGTCATCAAGCACTCTGATAAAGTTTGGATTTTCGAACAACGTGGCAAGTTGTGGACCGATTGGCAGCATCTTGATGGTTCTTCTGGGGCTACCATCAATATCGAATCTCTTTTCAAAGCACACTGGACATTCGTCCCCATCCTCTGGTTGAAAGGCATAGCAATACCTGATGCACACATCGACTGTATAAGGTGCAAAAGAAGTTGCCCTTTTCCTAGCAGAGCTGGCCTTGAATGTTGAGACTATAGGCGTTGCAACTTATCATAGTAGATGTTAGCGCTTTGAAACAACCAACTTTGTTATGGTTACTTACAAGGATACGTTTGGTTGTGCCATTGAACAAGTCTTCGGATGCTTGAGTTTGTCAAGTTTTCTTCCCTGAAGATCTTGTGGATCTCAGTATTTTTAGCATCCAGTGGTGGTAATGCCTCGCAACTGTCAGACATCTGATTGTCACTATAGTTAGCGCCGAGTCCATCAGAGTCTCCAAAGTCATATCCGCCATCGCTACCAGGTTCACCATCGCTACCAGGTTCACCATCGCTGTTTTCTTGCTGACTATTTCTTTCAGTGTAAGGTCCAGCCTGAGTATCATGTTCAGTTCTTGCTTTCTTTCTTTGATACTGATTAGTCTCCAGGTTGTGCAAGTCTACAGTTGTTGTGTCATTTGAAGAGTGCCAAAGTTTATGCTGTTTTTCATGTCTATTGCGAATTCTTCGGCAACACTGGGCACAAAAAAATGGCATCGTAAATAATATTAGAAATAAAGGTTAAACACAAATCTGTCTGGATTGTCTTTTATGCTCCTTATATTGCATGCGTTTCAATCATACAGATTGAAACGCATGCAATATTGAACATAGAATACACTTTGATTGGTATTGAATAGCCATGTGAATATCTATAGTGAAATCTAATAGTTCACATTGCATGCGTTTCAATCTGCATGATTGAAACATCAATGTCTGTGATAGCGGGTGCTATTAATTATTGGAAACATTACTAGACCAGTTTTTCTCTGTCTTTCATAGATTGTTACGCATTTATCGCAATTGATACAACCATCTCAAAGCACTGCTCTATTTTACACTTTACACTAATCACTTATTCAAAAATGGATCAAGCACAACAACTATTCTTACAAAGATTGGAGAACATTGAACAGGAGTTGTCCAATCTTAGCAAACAGGTCAAGGAATGTAATGACAACCAGACCGAAGTAAAAGCTATGCTGCAGCATATTGTTCAACAATCTACCTCTTCGAGCACGGCCAATGTTGCGAGACTAGATGGAGTGATATGCCGTCCAAGCAAAGCAGATAGCAAACATCTGGAGGAGCTTTCTGTTGAGCTATGCATCAACGTCCTTGAAGAGCATCGATTAGGTGGGGAAAACCTTGATGGCAAGAAGGTCTGGGAGCTTGTCAAAGATGCAGCATACAACCAGGCAAAGAAAGCTGATAGACAGTTCCCAAATATCACTTTTAGCAAGCTGGACAACAGATTTCAAGCCTTGTTAATCAAGACCGTCATAGACGATGTAGCCAAAAAGGGCGTTGACATCTCTGGGTTCTTCAAAGATTGGTTGCCGCAGTTTGCTGTCTCCAAATCATTGTCTGGCATAATCGATTACAAATACAATGCCAGGCCAAGCAATGACACCGCAACTTACCAAACCCAATTCGATGAAGATGATCTGGTATTTTCTGAGGGATCCCAAGCGCAATCCGAAGAAGATTCTGTCGACGATGACGAAAATTCGATTGTAGACAAGATCAATTTTCATGTTTCTCGAAATACTGGATCACAAAAGTAAATGCTGCATAGAGAAAAGTACTCTTTGATACTAATCGTAATATTATAGAAGAATCAGCACGCAACATATGCCTCTAGTAGAACAAGTAATTAAGTTTTCATAGATATAGCGCAGTAACTCACATTTCTTTTCCATTTTATAATGTGCACTATCACTATAGCCAATGCAGCCATCTCCAGTATCAAAAAATGTATCTGCATCAAACAAATCAAAGGCAAAGGAATATGAAAAGCACAGAAGATATTCATCACCAGAAACGCAAGATTTGCAAAGACAGTAAGTTTCTCATCATCACCTGGAGTTAGCCATTTTATGCTGATATTCTCTCTATCTCTTAAATTGTAGAAACATAAAGGTAATCGTAAGGCATTGATATCATAGATGGAGCTACTTATCTTTGTGTATTAGGGACCCAACAATAAGAGAGTGCGCAAGTCGTAAGGAATTCTGATCTCTATGCTTATTCTGATTAGGCTACGCTTTGTTGTTACTGCCCGTAATGTAATATCATCATGTTTCTCTGTAGTAGTAGCGCAATTATTATATGTCAAGAAATAAACAATGGTTTCTATTATAATAGCACTAAATGCTATTATATTTCTGATTTATTTTTTTATGAATATTTTGCAAACCACCCTAAACTACATGAATTTTTCTGAATTTTCCAGAATGAATTTCTCTGAATTTTTCTGAATTAAGTGAGCACTTTTCCGAATTTCTAAGAATGCCATTCAGAAAAATTTCGACAAATTTTTCGTAAAGTGGCAGTTTTCCGAAAAATGGATTCAGAAATATTCAGCAATATTCAGATCTTTTTTAGTCACAGTGCGAGATCCACCTACACTACATGAAACATATCGACTTAGGTGGTCTCTCAACAAGCTATATCAACACTCCATAAGGCCCCAGTGGTCTGCTATTTATATACCATCTCAACGTAGTAGCCATTGACCAGGGACTTATCATATTTAAGCTAGTTAGATGCCCTGTAATAAAGCAGCTCTTTGCTTTCGTTTTAGGTACAGTTGACAACGGATTGTTATCATCGACTTATTACTACGAATTCATCAGTATAATTAATCCAGCCTGTGTATTCCTTTTTGCAGCTGCCTGATACGCTAATTCATGCCATAAGTTTCTCACTATATGTTATTATACATCACACATGAAGATGACCCGGTAATGGCTCATCACAACCAGCGACGCAGTTTTGACACTGGATCATACATTTCAAATTGGCTTCAGGAGTTGGCATATCTGCTGGATAGTATGATGATAAGCTTGTCTATATCATAGGCATTTAACGGATGAAAGTGAACTAGCATTGATACCAATTTCGTTGGTATTTAATATACTATTGGTTTAAAGGAGGGCGCCAACATTGTACGGATCCATTGAACAAAGAGTCTCCACGAAATGAACTCATTTGAGGTATAAATGGGCATAGCCAATTGAAGAAGACTCATTCATCAAAAATAAATTTCAAGCGCAGGCATAAATCCCTTTTCAGCTCTTCCTTGGCAATCCCTTTTTCTGCAAAACCAATGTTAGTTGTGATGGCAGCAAGTGAGAATAAGTAATCAGGAACATTGGCCTTGTCAAAAACACAGTAATGTAGCATCTGTATATGTCAAGATGAGACTTCTGTAAAGGTATTGCTTGATTTCCAAAACGTCACATTTGTTACACACCACGGCGTTGGATTATGATTATTTTGGGAATAAGAGAGATGTAAAGCCCACAAAAAGAGAGCCCTTCTTGTTTCTTTTTCGTTTTCCCATCTTTTCCTTGTGCTTTCTTCTAATCTGTTTCATATGAAAAACGACAGCCAACAACATAAAGTTGTTTGGTCTTCTGAAAATGTAACACAGTGGCTAATATCAAATGGGTGGGGTTCAGTAGTGGATACATTTAATGGTTTGAATATTGAAAAACAAGAAGCAATGATTCGAAACTGACTTTAGTGGGTAGATTATAACATTCATTATGATCGTTTTCTAAATTTAAGCGAGGAAAATGTGAATGAATTGCTGAAAAACTTGAATATCTCGTCGATTGACAAACAGCGTTTGATACTGTCCATCAAAAAACTGAAAGCAGAGGATCAAGTAATGGATGAAATCACAAAATGAAAAGCTGAGCTAACATGCTGTATTTCGTATCCCAGGCACTGCAACAACAGCATCGACAACAGCAAAAGCCTCGAATAGCCATCCCCACCTTTCATCGAACTTCTGACTCATCAGTAACCACCACTAATTCAGCGCATTCGTCGACTGCACCTCTCATCAATACCTCTACATCTACTCTTAATGCTAATACTAATACAACTACAACTACTAACACCACAACGCCAACTACTCCCATCAACTTTGATATCAGTCAGTTTATACCCAAAAGAACATCTTCCAGCGACACCAATGTATCAAAAATGCTCGAAAACTTCCATCCTACCATCTCTAAAATAAACACACTTAATAATAAACCGAAAAGTCCCCGCATCAATGCAACTGATCCCGATGTCCTGATCAAGCTGTTTGGGAAAAGACTACCTGTGCCAAGTCCTAAACCGCAAGATAGTCGTATTCAAGTGACATTGGATGCAGATACATTTGTTCGTTTGTGGATCAAGCACGACGCTTCTGCTACTGATATCAAACGGTCTATCCTGTACAAATTGTGTGTGGATGCAGATCCTATTTATTTTTACTTTTATCACGAGAATGGTCGACAATCTTGTAAGCCGCGCTCATATAAACAGTACAAATTAATACAAACAACTCATTTGCTTCTTTTGTTTTCAGCGAAACCTTTGGTGGATGAAGAATTAGTGTTTATTTGTACAACATCCAATGATAATCAAACCAATCGTATATTAGTAGTGCCTCATTATGGGTTAAGCTTGGTTCGTCAACAGTTACATACCAGGTAAAGCGTTGTGTACATAAGATCAAATGGTAGCTACTCACACCATTCATTTGCAGTGTCCGCTATATATTGTCCTGTCCACAGAGTCCAACAACTTACGGCGGTATCCAGCTCGTCGATCCAGAAACACCCAAAGAAGACGCACCTCTGATTGATCTCACTCCTGCATCACCTTCCAATGCATTTTGGGCAACTCCGCCATCAGTAACATGCTCAGACAACAGACGCCCTTCTGCAACATCATTATGGCATGTGCCGCCTTCGACGTCAGACAGCAGCCTTGCAAGTGCACTATGGCCCACAGGAGACCAGCGCCAGGAACTCAGTGATCCGTCAGCGGTATCTGTCGACAGAGTGTTTGAGGGCGTCTCATTGTACGATCCACCTACACCTATCCATGATGAACCTCAATCCAACTTTCCGGCGACTGCCACAGCATCATCGACCTCACCTGTGGAATCACCTCCCTCACCTGTTGGATCAGATAAACGGCCTGAATCGCATAAGAGCGGCGCAAGCTCCTCTACTGCCACTACAACAGCGACTACCACGACCAACATCACAACACCCATGAGACAAAATAGCAGTGAGGAAGACATGTTTGGAGAGAGACCTACTGTGGAGAGGCTCTATCGAGACATCGACAAGTACCTTCCTGGACATGATTTGGATCAAGAAATTCTTGTAGATCAACAATTACAGCAGCAGCAGCAGCAACAACAGCAACAACAGCAGCAAGCACCGGTGGCTACACCTGCTACGCCGCGTCGACTAAACCACCGTCAATCCGTTCGCGTGGTTGCAAAAGAAGCACATCGTCGTTGGAAGCAGGCAACCAACAATGTCATGGTAGTGAACAACCTCATGATGCGTCGCAAGTCTACCAAAATGTGGGATCGACCAGTTGAACGAGTGAAGCCTGGCCAAGAAGGCAGCATCGAGTTACCGCCCGACAGTTCATCAATAGGAGTAACGCCCAGCAAGATGATTTGGATGCGAGGTAACCTGATAGGACGTGGCTCTTTTGGTCGAGTCTATCATGCTTATAATATCGCTACTGGAGAGTGGTTTGCAGTGAAGCAAGTAGACGCTGTGGTGACACAGTCAGATAAACGCAATGCTGATCTTCAAGAGGCTTCAGATGCATTATACCGAGAGATTTTGTTGCTCAAGGACCTGGATCATATCAATATTGTGCAGTATTTGGGCTACAATCTCAACAAGGAAGAGGGCCATATCTACATCTTTTTAGAGTACGTGCCAGGTGGAAGCATCTCAAGCTTATTATGCGAGTACAAGTTTTTGGACGAACCATTGACCAAGTTCTTTACGAGACAAATCTTACAAGGCTTGCACTATCTACACTCAAAACACATCTTGCACCGTGATATCAAGGGCGGCAACGTGCTCATCGATCAGAATGGTGTTTGCAAGATTACTGATTTCGGATTGTCCAAGAACCAGCAGCAGGACAGCAACGGTGCTTATGATGCTCATTCCAGTCATACACAAATGAAAGGCACCCTCTATTGGATGGCGCCTGAGGTGCTCACCAACAACTACAGTGCCAAAGTGGATGTGTGGAGCCTGGGTTGTACAGTGCTGGAGATGATTACTGGCGAACATCCTTGGATGGAACTGACAACGTTGGCAGCACTGTACCAGATTGGACTACATAATGCACCTGCTATACCAGAGAATATATCGGATCAGGCCAAGGATTTCCTTGGACAATGTTTGCGAATGTAAGTGGACATAGCGTGTGATAGCATGCCTATGACTAACGATTGATTGTACACATAGTAAACCGGAAGACAGACCCACTGCTACCGAACTGTTGCAACATCCTTTTGTCCAGATTGATCCAACGTTTGACTTTAAAGAGTCTCTCAAACAACAACAATTGAAATAATTCGACACCGAAACCCCAGCGCAATGTTTCTTATCTATCCCTTATATGGCTTGCTTACTACTCTTTACAACAATGCCATTGTTTCTCTGTGTATCAAAAATCTGATAAGCATCTAGTTATACGCTCATATAGTCCATTGTATATTATCATAATTCCTACCTACCCCATACTTTATATACTATCCAAAGTAATAAATCACTATTCACGTGTGCAATTTACGCGTGTAACATGTACGGAGCATCTCAGAGAAGAATTGCAAGTAAAAATTTCATCCGTGACAAACACGATTGGCCCGTAGTAAAATGCAACTGTCTATTTATTAGGTTGAAATTCATGTCTGGTTCTCCTTTTTCTTCTTGCTTTCCATACCTTTTCTCTCACTTTTTCATACTTCTTGGATAGACATAACAACAGCAAGAAAAAAAGAAAAAAGCAGACACTATGGACATCCTTTTAAACAGCAATGCTACCATGGCAACCACCACAGATCTCAGTTGGGTAGAATCCAAGTGGGAGCAAATGTATGAAGGCCGTAACCCTCTCTTGGTTACTGGTGTATTCGCCTTCCTGATGCACGAACTTGTCTATTTCGGCCGCTTTATCCCCTTCTTGATTTGCGATTTCATCCCATACTTTCAAAAATACAAATTACAGCAGGTAAAAAAGAATGTTGTCTTGGAGATGCGAAATTAAAACTAGAAACTAACCACGGGTATACACAACAGAACAAAGCAAACACAAATCAAGATTACTGGAATTGTACTAAAAAAGTGCTCTATGCTCACTTTGTATTCGAAGGTCCCTTGATCTTTTTATTCCATCCCTTTGCTACCATTTTAGGTATGAAGGTTTCTGCCCCCTTCCCCGCTTGGTAAGTTGAGCTCACTACATTTGATGTAAAAACACCACATCTGATAAGCAAAAATGCGATCTGTATAGGCAAAATATGTTGCCACAATTGGCCATTTTCTTCATCTTTGAGGATTTCTATCACTACCATATGCATCGTTTCATGCACTGGCCACCATTTTACAAGAATGTCCACAAGGTGCATCATGAATACGCTGCTCCATTTGGTATTGCTGCTGAATATGCCCATCCTATTGAAACTATGATTTTGGGCTTTGGTACTATTGGCGGCCCTCTTATTTACCATGCTTTGACTTCATTGGTGTTCAAGTTGGACGATGCTTGGGGTCTTCATTTGGTCACCATGTTGTTGTGGATCGTGTTGAGACTTTTCCAAGCGATTGATGCTCATTCAGGCTACGATTTCCCTTGGTCTCTCTGTAATTGGGTTCCCTTCTGGGCCGGTGCTGACCACCATGATTACCACCATCAGGCTTTCATTGGCAACTATGCTTCCAGCTTCCGTTGGTGGGATTATCTCTTTGGCACAGATGTCAAGTATCGTGCTTATCGTAAACGTCAAGCTGAGGAGCGTCGCAAGTTGAAGATGAACTAGAGCTATCTCTCGCAACACACCAGAAAAATTACATAACTAATACTTTTATACATATACAACCAATCTTCTTAATAATGCATTAGTCGTTTTCATATTTACATTATTTCCCCTTCTCTTTTTTTTTATATAATACAAACAAAAAGATTTTACAATAGCACACATTACACAGTGTTACACGTCTTCGGTGACCAACGCCGCAAGACGAGCAATTTAAACTCTTATTTTGAGTGTCAAAAAGTGTAACATTGATTTGGATGATTGGATCTCATTACAAGGATAGTCCTCTTTTATCGCATTTAGGTGCAAGCTGGGTATCGATTCCAAGGCAATGGTATTTAGCTGCCAAGCACTGCTATACTAGTTTGCCCCAATTGTTGCATTGTTTGTTTGATATTGGCTTTTATCGTTGCAACGTGTCAACTCTAGACGTATAAACATGGAGATTAAGGCTCAACTACTGCAGTCAGCCAAGACACCCATCCTCCTCGGTCCATTTACTTCCTTTGCATCATGAGACGTTTATTGGCGGTACCTTTAGCATGTCGCCTGCTTCCTCACAGGATCAACTGACTAAGTGTCTCCATTTATTATCCAAATCATACAAGACTATCAGTTGTGTCTAAACTAAATTGTGTATTCAATTTGCCTCTACGATGGTGATTGTATTTCGCAGCTCTCTTTCGTAGCCTCTCCTTTTGTGCAATCTTTTCCTCCAAAATCTTCTTTGCTCGCTTCGTTGTTGGCTCATGTTCGTCATCCTCGTCTTCTGACCACTCTATATTGCGACTGTGCATCATGCGCTGACTGATCGTTTTCCAGCTGAACCGCATAATACTGGGAAATCCAAAGAAATCCTCCTCATTTTCGTTCATCCATTTGACAGTATTGGGATCCGACGGATATCCGGATCCAAAGTCCTTGGATAATGCAAGATCTGTCTCTGTCCATTGCCAGTTTTGCACAATTTGGTCTCGAGTAACTTTAGCACAGATGGAGGCTGCACTGACTATAGGATACAATGAATCAGCTTTGGGTTCCACTGTGATGGCAATGCCAGGGAAATGGGATTGAAGTTTGGACTTGTACGAGCTGGATGGGCCGACAGGATCAACGTAAATCTACAGGGTTTGTGAGTGAGCATCTGGTGTATGAAAGAGGCTAATCATACACACTTCTTCTAAATTGACTCTGCTGTCTAGAACTTGTCTAATCAACTTGATGGTAGCGTCATGAGCCATCTCATTCAGATTATACACAGGCCTTGTGCTTGTTAGTTTTGTACCTCATTCAGTAGGCTCTTCCCTTACCTCTTGTGCATGTTGGTGGAGATGTCTTGTGGTGAGATGACATAGACGGCCCAGCCTACCCACTCCTTGCTGGCTTCGATCGTTTTTGCTAATTGCGTTCGCTTCTCCTCTGTCAACTTTTTGGAATCTACATTGCACATGTCAATCTCACGTCAAAGCATTCTTTCGGCTGGCTGATCTACCATCAAATCCAAGCTTCTTGAATTCCTGGTGTCTAGAGAGGGGACAGTAGCTCACGGCATACACCATGGGGCCTAAACAAGGACCTCTTCCTGCCTCATCGACACCCAGTACACAAGGCTCGTTGACTTTATCAGGTCTGTTCTCTACCAATGCGGATGGCACATTGCTGAAATAGGTATATGATTTCGTCAAGGGCAGAGTCACTGATGGCAGTAGGAATGATGCAATTTTGTCTTGAGCTGCTTCCATGATGCAATGCTGAGAATGAGAGAAAGGCATCACTAAAAGATTTGCGCGTGAAATGGATTCGAGAACCCAATGTTTGACACACGCGATGTCTATTATAGTCACAGAAGCAATCACTGAGGTTTAATCAGGTGGCAAGTCTCTCTCTCTGTCTCTCAGTCTGCCCATCATCCACCATCCCCTTCCATACCCTCCACCTCCCCGCATTTTTTTTTTTTTCATTATTTTACCTTTTTTTTTTTTTATATATATGTCCAAACCAACAAGCTTATTATTCTCGAGGATACTCACTGCCAGAGCCTTCAATGTAGCTTTACCTCGACCCACAGTGTTACAACAGCGTACATCTTTGTTGACAAGGGTGCCTGTGCGTTCAGTGCATGCCGCTCCTAAAGACTACAACGGTTTGCAATCAGCAGCTCATCATTTCAAAAGACAACGACACATGCCCTACTTTTTAGAATACCTCATGTGGGTTGTCTTTGGTTCAGAAGCACTGCATCTCATTTGGCTCAAGATGGATTACAAAGAATACAAAGAAAAGACAGCTCACAAAACCAAATTACTGGAAGAACTCATCAAGCGAATTGAGAATGGAGAGCAAATTGATGATAGTTTACGAGAGGAGATAAAGATGGTCTTGATGAACAACAAGCACCATAGTGATATAGTTGGTGGTTCCGATGATGATATTGATGATGAATACCTCAACCACTGTAAGTGCAATGGTTCGCTGTCAAATATAGTACAACTAACACTATGGAGTAGTGATTGCCTCATCCGAGAAACACCAGCAAAGCGAAACGAAGGTCCAACCACAGCAACAAAAACCAGCAATGGAGTCAACCTGGATTAGGGAAGACGAGGGCGAGGAATCTTCAGTAAATGCAGATGGCATTGAAAAGAAGGACACTAAAAAGAAACCCTTCTTCTTGTAGAAAACAGCGAATAAAATGTGTAATTATAGATTTGGTTTATTTAGAACCGGCTGATGTCTCTTCCCAATGTAAATGTCAGGAACCAGTGATAGGCAATCAACATTTTGTTTCTGATGCTGACACTCTTACTGATGTATGCTGATCTCCAGAGGAGCCAAGACAAATGTCCAGACATTTTGGCCCAGTTGTGCCAGGCAGACATGTCCACCAATGCTTCATATGAACCAATATAAGCCATGATACCGTTGTTCTTGTACTTGAATTCCTTTCCATCAGGGATCTCATAACCCTTTTTAGCAATGGCATTCAGATCTATTGGTACTGCATTTAGCACGTTTGACTTTGTAAGGCGTGTACCTCACTTACTTTTGATAAGAAAACCGGCTTTTTGGGATGCAACTGTATATACACGTTGGTCGAATGGAAAATTATTGGTTGATAAAGCTACTACAAACCTTGAGCTGTGGCTGGCAGATCATTGTCCAAGATGGTGGCGCAATCACCCAAGGCGTAGATATTGGGATAGGGTGCATTGGATTCTTTCTCAATTACTCGTAATTGCCCATCAGTCAAAATTCTAAGCAAGTTACGGTTAGCAGCTGGTATCTGACTGTTGCAGTGTATTCGAAATCACCTTTGTCCCGATTTGTCCTTGGCAGCAGAAGTAAATGACTCAACCAATGGGTTCTGTGTCAAGCCTGTGGACCATACCAACAGTCCATAGGGCACTACAGTTTTGGATGAGCAACCCGTGTTTACAGCACCAAACAACAACCTACCTTTTCCTTCATCTTTGATAACAAGATGGTCTTTTTCAACTCTGTCAACAATGCGCTCTACATTTGTTGTATTCAACATCATGGTCACATCATTTTTAGACAGATAGTGTACTTACGAGTCTTGATTTGGATGCCTTTGCGACTAAACTTTTTAGACGCGTAATCTGACAAGTGAGAATCAAATGCACCGAGAATGGTGGGAGCAACATCATACAAGGTCATTCGGGTTTTCTTCATGAGATCTGGGTAGAGTCTTGAAAGATCATCCGAAATGAAATCATACAGTTCAGCGGAAAACTCGACGCCCTTTGGGATAAAAAGATGTCAGTAAAAGATCATGACTTTGCTATACAACATGTACTTACAGTGGGACCTCCTCCTACTACTACAAAGTGAAGTCTGTCTTCTTTCTCCTTGTCACTGATACCAGGCTGAGAGGCATACTCAAAGCCTATATGCACTTTAGTCCAAAAACACCATGTCAATTCTTATGTATACGTTACAATCAATCAGCCGCTTTCTGATCTTTCTGGCGTCGTTCACTTCCTTCAAAAAGCAGGCATACTCTTTGACACCAGGAATGCCAAATGTCTTTGTATAGGCGCCCACTGCAATGACCAGTTTATCATAATCAAGCGTGAATTCCTCCTTCTTGGTGGGGTCTATACAAGCTTCATGTCAATGCATTGCCCAATACAGCCTGGAACCTGAATTTACCGGCATCAATGTTGGATGTACAGTGAATCACTTGATTTTTAACGTCAATCTTGTCACAAAAAGCTTGGTAAAAGTTGGTTTCCTTTGAGTAGGTTCTAACAGGCTCAGTAATACATCTAAATTCCAAGGTACCAACAGAGGTGCTATATTTTGGAATGAGTATTTCTGCTGTGGAGTTGTATTTTGACTATACAAACCTCGCTAAAAGCGGTGTAAACACAAAGTGGTTTCTGTTGCAGATTAGAGGGGATCATTCAGGATCAGTTAGCATTACACAAGATCAAGCTGATACTCTCGTACAATACCTTGGAGACACTACAGAGACATCGTAGTTTTTCTTGTCTAATTCTCGAATCAAGCGAAACCCTATGCGAACATGAGAATCTTACTGCAGCGACTAAATTTCAAACACGCATGCGTACCTGCCCATCCTGAACCTGCTCGATAAAGATCGAAAGCAAGAGTTAATCAAGTATCTTCTCAACTATTTTTTTTTTGATGGCAACTTTACCCAAAATGACAACTCGGCCTACACAGGAATAAACAGCACTATAAGCATCATTATCTCATCATTGAATGCCATGTCAAACCTACCTTGTGATTTACCCAATGTTCTAGTCTTGGTTTGCACTGTAAAATGCTTTGCTAAATACACATATACTCAGTCAATGCTTGATCTCAATACGCTTCTGTGAATAACTTACACTGTTGTTTTGCAGCAGGCAATGTCAATGCGTTGTTTGTGATTTGCAATGAAGTGGAGACAGTGGTGGTGTTGAATCTCTTTTGAAGCAACTGCCAGCTGGCAGTGGCACATTTAATGTTATAATTCGATACAGTGAATTTCATCATTTTCACTAGCAATTAAATAGACGAGAATATTCTATAAGCAAAAGGCAAAGGAAAATGTTAAAAAAAAAGAGCTTTCCTAGATTGATTTATAGCGAAGAACAATAATGTTGACATTCGAAGGTAAGAATGACTTCATCAGGAAGGTTATCTGATTGGATTGTCACCAAAGCTAATTCGTAGGACCATTTGAATATTACAAATACAACAGCCCCCCCGCATTATTATGTTGATATCAAACCTTCAACTTCATATATAACTCTTTGATAAGCACATGGACTTTACGTCTCCCATGATCTGATCAGTCAATTTTCACAGCATGTAGGTTACACCATGATTGATAGCATATGTAAATTGCATTAACATTGGCAATTATTTGTAAGGCGCAATGGCATCATATACATGTCCATGTTGTTTGATACGACACTTTACAACATGGCGGGGGTAACAAAAGTAGACTACAAAGAGGTCTGCATCGTTCGGGAAGATCCCTTCATTCACCTTGCGAATGAGTCAAAATCTCGGTTGAGAATACGAAAACCATTCCGATCCTAAACCTATGAAAAGCCTTGTAAAGCGCGCAAGTAGTGAGTTCTCTTGATATTGAGTGCTATAAGGCTATTGCCGCACTTGCTATCTTGTACACGACAGTAAAAATCATTTGATTTGGATATTCAGGCTATCAAATATAGACTTTTCTTGCACAAAAGAACAATAAGATGGCTTCCAATTATGCTCAGATCAGATAATGCAAAGCCAATCATTCAAAATGGAGACAAGTTAGCCGAAACACCAAATTAAAGGGCTTCTTTACCCTGCTTTTTCCATTGCAATTCATGGATAAACATTCATTACTGCTCAAAGGTTGCTGATAGGCGCAGGCACTTGAAAATAGATCCAAATGATGCACCACAGGCCTGATGTGACAAGGCAAGCTGGAGATTCACGGCATGTTGCACAACAACATTGATACCATGGTGGATGAATCGTTGAAATATACACAGGTTTTCTTTATTCATTGCATCTAAGAATAAGCATCTTCATTATCACCATCGTCGTCATCGTCGCCTTCACCATTATCAAAGTAGTTCTCTGCATAATCGTTGTCATCCACCAGTTCTTCTTCATCCTCATATTCTTCTTCATCTTCAGCATCTTCGTCTTCTTTCTTTTCACCGTCTTCCTCTTCCTCTTCTCCCTCTTTGCTTTCTGCATTGAGTAATGCTTCAATTTGACCATACTCATCTACGACTGCTCGAGATTTTTGTTCTAATTGACATCCTGTCAGTCCTATAGCGCATTATTGGCGTCTCGTCATACTCACTCTTCTTTCCTCGCTTGGGATCAATAACAGCCTGGAGCTCTTCAGGGAAAAAATCGAGATCTAAGTTGCCAAAACGTTAATTATCCATGTTTCGCTTGAAATACCACATATCAGACACTTTACTGGTTTCAATATCCTTCAAGCTACGTTTCTCTGCTATCACTTTGTATTTATCTGAATAACGTTCGATGTCGGGTGGTGGTGGTGGTGCTGTTAAATGAAATGGTGAATCTTTAATCATGCCGAGATACTCCTTCCTTAGTTTCCACTGTTGAATTTCGTTTGATGTAGGTTTACGTGGGATAGGTACATCCATTTCCTAGCAGACAGAAAGAGCATGTCAGTAGGAATGTCTCGCGCACAATATGCAATCATGATGGACATACAGGAAACAAGGCAGTGTTGACATTAAACAGATTGCCAGAACCAAGGTCTTTCAAGAGATCAAAGGATACAAGTTGCATAGCTCCACTCTGAGGGCCGCCTCCACCTCCTCCACGGCCAAATCCACCTCCACGTCCTCCTCGAGACATAATGTATGAATGTGTTTTGTAGTGATTTACAAAGAAAAAACTAACATCAAGTTGATGCTTCCATTTTTTTTTCTTGACGTGACCATAAATTAAGCAGTCAATGGAATACTATTGCCATCAAAGAAAAAAAAGGGGTAATTTGGGTATTCAATCCAGTTGAAAGCGTCTTCTGTCTACAACATACTATTCTATTGTTTATAGATCGTGATCCTACTGTTGGAAACGATTTTGAAGTGAACGTCTCACATTTGACAAGTGGAATGACTGGAATGTCCCGCTCTAGGTGACAGGAACCTCACCATCCTAATACTTGACGAGACATTCTCTTTGATTTCTTATGAAGATGTGCTGATATTGCTACTATAATTATAGTATTGATATACTTGGCTTGTGAACAGCAAAGTTGCACACATTTTTGTGCGAGTGATTGTTCCAATTAGTTGCAAATTGTTGGGTATACACCCATTGCGCTCTAAGTGTGCGTCGCTAGGATTGATCATGTCAAAAACTATCTACTATTATGAATTGCATGCAAATTTATCTTGAGCCATGCACCGCCTCACGAAATAGTACAATATAACCTATTACTACACATTTCATTGATATAATATGTCACTGAAATCCCTAAAAACCACCCATGGCTTGAGATTTGCATTTTGTACGATACAGCATATCTAGATCATCGAATACTACGTATCTTTGTTTCGCGGTTTGGCGACATAGCCCCTCGCTCCTCAATTTTATGCCAACTTAGAGCCAAATTTGGCCATTTTCAGGCACGAATATCTGGTACTACAGGCCGATTTGAACGCCCAGAGTAGCGCTATACAGTTATACTCGAGTGCTAGCTGATTGCTGATACCTTTGCTCAACTTTTTTTGGGATATCAAAAATACCACCAAAAAGCATGAGGGGTACCTCATAGTTTTTATCAAAAAACAAACGATCGAGTTTTTCTCCCCAAAAATGAAGACTTTTACTATGATACATATTAAATCAAAATGTTCCTATCGAACCAAAACAATCCCTGAAGCTTCATTTGTGGCACTTTCATATGCAAAATCTCGACAATTTTGCCAGAAACCTCATTTCTTATTTTCAAAAATTGCTTAATAAATTTAATCACAATAACTCTCGAGATTAGCACCATTCAAAGCGCCTTGGAAAGTACTCCAAGGATGTATTAGAAAGTATGGATTGATCATGACGACTTACATAGTCAAATCTGTTAGAATAGGTTGAATTATGTCCAAAAAACTTTAAAATCATCAAATCAGAGCAGAGTGACTGGCGGAGATTCAAGCGTTTTTTGGCAGCGGCAGTGGCTGCTGGCTATACCAAATGGCCATCAGATATCATGATGGACATATAGATGTAGTCGACGAGCCCTTTTTACTACTAATTGCAATGATATTTTATAATATTAAGAGCATCCACATGCTTTGCTGAAAAAAGACCAGTAAAAGGACTGACTTTGATGATATACAATATTTTATTTTGATGTTGTTTGTAAATTATTTACATGGCTTTCATTCTTCATCCTCTTCCGTTTTTGATTTGTTACAACTGGTCAAAAGTTGATCATAACAAGGCTTGCAGAATCTTGCTGATTTATCGGGACAGACCAATGCAGCAGTAGACATACAGTTGGAGCAAAAGATGCCACCACATGCTCTACAATGACTCTTGCGTTCTAGTAGACATTTGTGTCAGTATATCAGTTGCACATGGAATTCCCTTCTAATTAATCCTACCTAACACAGAAAACGCTCTTTTGCATGTCATGCATTCCCTGCACTTATCTTCTCTCTGTACATGATACGTGTCTGACGTATCTGGCAGCACAAATCCATACACTTGCCCTTGCTTGCTACCTGTAAACAATGTCTTTCTTGAGCTAGACATGGATAATGCCACAATGTCAGATGTATCCAAGCTTCCATCTACTCTACTCTTATGACGCAGTTCATGTATTAAAGCAAGAGACCATTTGTGTTGGCCTGTCTTTGCATCTATTTCCACATGTTTTAGCCAGAACTTGACGACACCTCTTCGATGGCCTGTGATGATCAAGTCCTTGCTGTTCCATTCAGTCAGTTTACGCTAAAGTATCCCATAGATTAGACATATGCTCATGTTGCAGCTGGCGCCTGAAAAATTTACCTCGTAAAAGATACAGGACAAGATAGACTCTGAGCTAGGACAGGCTGATTTTGTAAGATAAAGGTCGCCATTGACGGTCCATACACGAATGATATGACCAGAGCAGGTAATGATATCACCCTAAAGTGAATAGAGTAAGAAGCAGGCATTTAGAGTTGCAGGACTCAACAACTTACAGTGCTATCGTTGATTCTGATAATTTGAACGCCATTTTCATGCCCACCTAACGTCTTGACATATTGCTTACGATTCAAATCCCAGATGATGGCTGTCTTATCCTATCAAAACATGCTATGAGTTACAGTTTACACCCTGCTGTGTGTGCACGATACATACTTCAGAACCAGTGACGAGAATACTATACGTTCTTGATGCAGCAATGGTAGTGACAACAGAAGAATGGCCCTTGAGACATTCAACCAAAACAAAGTCGGTTGTTGTCTTTTCATTCTTAACTTGCCAAATACACACAAGCTATGAAACGGAACGTGGTGTCAGCAGACTACATCCAACAATATCAAATACGCACGAACTTACATTGTCAGTACCACCTGTAACCAGAGTACGAGAATCAGGGAAACATGCTGTACTAATGAAGCCAACATGCATGTTTTCAAACACATTTAAAGGCTTTCCAGTTTCAGTAGAGAACATTCTCAAACTGTTGTCAGAGAATCCCCATTCAATGTATCGTAGACCATCAGGAGGCATCAGCAACTGCTGACACGATGTCACGCCAAGCTTCTCATTGTATAAATCAATGCTTTCAATTTGTTGCTTAATGTCTATTCACAGTTATGCATGTTAGTACCATCGTTCCACGCCAAATATAAGGATTACTTACCACGCAGAGGCATCAGTGATTGGACCAACTTGTCTAAATGCTCCTGGAAGATGTAGTAACCCAATGCCATGGGATCAGTGATTGTTGGTGATCTTGCTGGATGTGGTTTTTTGAATAATTGACGTGGCGTTTGACCAAAGTTATTAATGATACCAATTGTAGCTGTCTTTTCCACAATGTCTGTAATGGCATCCAAATCAACAGCACCTTCATACGAAACGTGATGAAATACATTGAGGGCATCAATGGCCTGCTGTCCTTGCTGCTTGAAACCAAAGATCAAGTCAATCCAGTGATGCAAATGAGCACTGACATATTCACTCTCCAGAGCTTCACGATGACGCTGGATAAAGATCTTGGGATCTCCATGCGCCCATGGTGGCAACACGATGGAATCAATCGCCTCCCCAGTGCCTTGCTTGACACCAAAGTTGAATTTGTTGACATTGGTCAAGAATTCAGGCAGATAAAAGAACTCGGGAATCAGTTCTCGGACATCGCCCATGTTCTTTTCTGATGCAGACTCCCAAGCTTTACCAATGGAATCGAATAGTCGATCAGCGTGATCAAAGGTGCCACCTTGTAGCTTGAGGTAATGTTGCGTAAAGGGCTCGAGGCGAATCAAGAAGGAGCACACAATCATAGCAGACGAATAGTGCGTACCGTAATGAAAAGCAGGTGTTGGGTCGTCGGTCTCTCCCCATTGTCTATATCGCTCAGCAAACTCTTGTCTGCGTTCAGCTGTTTGGGCACCCATGGGACGCGTCAAATCTCGGTAGGTCCTTGGATCAGTCAGATCAAGTTCTTCGCTGTGATAGTCAGCCAGAATCCATGGAAACACAGGGTACTGAGTCAAGTCGTTGTAAGATCGACCTGCAATGGCGTTCAGGTACATCAAGTATTGGAAATTGGTGAGCTCTTTACGCTCCCAGCGCTGCGTTAGATCGTGTAAAGTGGAGGTACCAAATATGCTGGACAGTCTAAACGTGCTGCTGAGACCCGTTGTAGTGTAGCTGTCTTTTTCTCTGCCGAATATAGTACCACCAGACTCTTCATGCACAGTGACACGACTCACCAGCTTGGAGTACAACTCATCTCGCTCAGACAGAGCTACTGTGATCAAGGCATTTTGACCATCCGTAAAGAAGATTTCAAGCGCTACATCTCTAAACAAGAAGCGACGTTTAAACACATCACGAAGGTCAGCAGTAGCCCATTTCCTGCATGTATGCAAATCGCCAGAAGAGCTGATGAAAGGCTCTGTTTCCATGCCAGCGGCTTGAGCCACCAAGAGAAGGTACTGATCGCGCTCTTCTCTAGGGACATCCCAAATTTCGACGACTTCACCATCACTGAGCTGGAAGAAATTGTCAATGAGGTAAATGTTGTTTTTGCACAGCAAGAGGAGACCTTCACAAGCATCTAAGCCAGCAATTTGACTGACATTGTACACGTCGAGCACCATGTCGCCTTGATCCAACAATCGAAGTACCTTGCGATTCTTGTCTTCTTCATACGAGATTTGTTGCTCCTCCTCCTCCTCCTCCTCGCCTTCCTCCTTGTTGACGCTTCCATTGATAGAGTTGCTGTCGTTTTCAGCAGTGGGTGGCTCGTCTTCTTTACTCATGATGGAGGATTGCTCTTCCGTGAGTTCCTTGTCTATTTGCACTTCAGACTTGAGAGCACTGCCATGTTTAGCAGTGATGGAAGCCTTGATGGGCTGAGGAGAGCTGTCATTATGTGTAGCTGTGGTTTGTTTGGGCATATAGGACGAGTAGTCCGTGTTGGAGATGTACTGAAGTCTCTTACGCATACGATTAGGACCTTCCGTGTAGTCGAGTCTCCATTTCAAGTCAAGTGATACGCGAGGACCCCAAATGGATCTCTCTCTTACCAAATCAGCAGCAATACGAGTCCATTCACTCGAGATGAAGTTTTCATGTCCATCAAAGTCTTGCAATGCTTTGGTGAAGCGGCCCATTTCTATCTCTTGGATGCTTTGAGACCAGGATTGGGTCTTTTGTGTGTAGTCCATCATGACTTCTTGCTCGTAGGCTTCTCGCTTCTGCATCTTTTTCAGCTTGTTGATGCGTCTGGTAATGTAATTTTTGAACGTTTCTTTGCTGTACTTGTTTTCTTGGACAATCGTGTTCTCCCAAGATTTACTAATGTGCTCCGTAAACAAGATGTTGAGCTCCACCTTGCGCGAATCCAGCCATCTGTAGAATGATTCCACATCCATCTCCAGCATTTGCTTGAAGCCATCAATCAGATCATCCAATTCCACACCCTTGATGCGTATATTAAAGATGGCGTCGACGGTATCTGGTCTCTGCAGCACCAGTAATTTCCACATATTGGCAGCGGCATCTCGCACCTTATCATCGTTGGATAGCAGATAACGGTAAAGATGATAGCAGAAGCATTTCATGAATTCCGTGTCGCTGTTTTTGGCACTGAGGATAATCTTTTGATGGTGGATGCAGTAGTCAAGGAAGGCGACTGTCTTGAGAGAGTCCAAATCGCCGTGCTCCAGATCAGATATCTTGACCAGAATCATGCGGTTGAAAGCACGATAGATGGTAACTACAGACGCATCATTGATACCATAGCGACTGTTGAACTCATCGCTATGCAAAATCTCTAACAAGGTAGCCAACAAATCATATGTCTGCTCAGTACCGCCTTCTCTAAATCGCCCCTGAATCACAGCATCAGCAGCCATCTGAGAGAACTTGGCAAGATTGGCCAATACACGAGGATCCAACATCAGTTCCATTTCCAATTGAAACGTGCTTTTCAGGTTTTGTGCGATGTGTGTCAGTAAGTAGCTTTCGAACAAGAGTTGCTGTTCATGCGAACTAGGAGGGAAAGCAGAAAAGACAAGCAATAAAGCGCCGAGATTTTTGCTCTGTGGATCTGTGATGGACTCGATGCAAATATCCACTACAAAATTAAGCAAGGAATCCATCATGGCGTCCTGCAGTACTTTGGTGTTGGTGGGCGTGGCAGCGGCTTGACTCCACGAAGCAGATCTCAATCGTGTCATGAAGGCATTGCCTCTCTTTGACACATGCGGGGATGTCTTGGTCATCAGAGCCGATGTGCCGCCACGCTTGATAATGCTGCTTCCAGAGGTTGCTGTGTTGCTGTCGATAGACGCTGTATCATCATCCGTGAATTTACCAAAGCGGTCGAAATAGGGGCTATCAATAGGCGATGCAGCAGCAGATGAGGGAGAGTTGAGATGGTCCAGGTCAAAGTTGGTCAGCACAACATCTTTGGAGATGAGCTCGTCGTCTGCTGTCATTTGATGCGTAGGACACACAGATGGAAACAGCACCTGAACGATACAATCCACAACCTCTTGTTTGTTGCAAGCTTCCTTGAATACGGACCGACTATCGTACAGTTCATCAAAGAGCTGGATAAAGTCTTCCATGGTACGAGATATTTGAGCGCGTGAGGCGGGAGAGAGGGCCTGTTTTTCAGCCATGGGTCTGACATTGACACTGTTGCTTCTGGTACGAGGTCGCATCAAGGTTGGTGTACTGGTCAGCTTGGTAGCCGGTAAGTCAATCGCCTTTCTGGCTTCATCCCACATGGCAATGATGATGGGCAGCATATCAGGCACAGCCATCTTGTTTCCTTCCTTGCTGTCGTGCAAACAGGTTCTCAAATGGTTGATATCAAACGTTCTGTAGATGGGGTATTCGGCTACATCGATGCCAATCATCATCAACATGAGCGTTTCATGCAATTGAGTGAGATGCCAGTAGGAAGGCAGTAAATGACGCAACACTAGAAACCCCTCAGAGGCAGATCTGAACTTTTGCACGTAAGCAGGGCCTTGTGTAATGCAAATACGAGCCAAGATGCGCGCTGTCAACACTACTGTAAAAGGGTTCAAGTTGGGTGCAAAGAAGAGCAGTGGCCATTTGTTGGTGATGGTGGTGGCAAACTTGCTAATGTAGTCGGGGCCATTGGCCTGATCGCACAGAATATCATGCATCATTTCAAGAACGATATTACGCATCTGAACGCTCTTGGTCGTATTGCTGTGGTGACTCTTGGCGTCTGTGATGATTTCTATCGTAGTTGATGAAGGTATTTCTGAATCGATGGAGGAAACGGATGAAGTGGAACGGGTGCTGTCAGATCGACCCAAGCGACGAGGTGCTTTCAAAGACGATGGTACTTTGGATACAGTGGAAGCCAAGAAGGTAGCGACGGCTCGGATGCTCTCTGTTGTCCAGTTACTCAGCATGATGGCCTTGAGGGCGTCAATCAGGTGAGGCACTAGCTCTTTTGCATAAATATTCATTCTAAAGGCTAGCAGGACTTTTTTCACCAAGTCTACATAGACAAATTAGTAAGTACCATCATAACAATTGATCAACAATGAGTCCCAACTTACGAATCTTGGGAAGACGCTTTGAGTTGAAGTTTCTCAGCTTGCTTGTATTCAGGAACAGAATAAATTGATCCAGCTGGGCTCTTTGGACAGAGATGGCCGTCTTTTTCCAGATTTCAAAATTCAAGATAACATAACGGTAAGCCAGTGGGTTGTTGATAATAGAGTCCCTATTGAAATAGAGCAGATCAGCATGTATCATCTAGTATCCAACATCTACCACTTACTCCGGAGAATGAGGATTTTTGCCAATAAAGACGAGCAGTAATTCGATCAATTCAGGGGTAATCAGATCTCTTTTCTGTTTTAACAAGTAGGCTAGAATCTCGTAACCATGACATTTTTCCATGTCCTCTGAATTACGCCATGAATAACGAATGATTTCAAACAAGATGGCAGTCGCCTTGCACAGTGTTTCTGATGTCTATTTCATCTTGTGAGTATGCTTTATAGTAAGTGAATTTACCTTCTTACCTCAGAACGTTCAACCAATTTTAACGCAATAGCACAACCACCAATCTTCCAGATAGACTCATCCAAGCCAAAAGGATACGCTACAGTAGGCCCACCTGCCAAATAGCCCATGTTTCTCGGCATGTATACTGCAGTATCCAGCTTGGGGATAGCAGAGTTGATTACCATATGAGAGTGGTCGATTTCCATGGCAATGGTAGCCACAGTTGCATCACTCAAACCAGACAGTGTCAGCCCAGTACGATGGCCTTCAGCGAGCGCGTTGCTGGCAAAGAAGGCAAACAATATCTTGTGTTCGGGTATACTCTGGAAATGAGTGCTCTTCATAACATTTGCCAGCATTGTTTGCGTCTGAACAGAATCTCTGCGCGTAGTTTGATTTGATTTGGATTTCGACATACTTCTCAGTGTCAGAAACAAGGAGGTAGATGCTTCGTACGTCTGGAATTGACGCAACGAGTCTTGGAACAAGGATTTGTAACGAGCACCGAGATTAAAGAAGAGGTTGATGGTTTCTTTTTCCAGTGTTTCTGACATTAAGTAAGTCGGGCCCAGATCCCACACCAGCTGTGATGTCTCCAACAGATGTTCATCACCCAAAGATCCAATTACGGCTCTCAGCGGTACTGTTGGGACAGAAGACTGTGTGATGTATGGACAGCTTACCTGCTCAATCGCTACACCATTGACATACAATTGCATGCTGCTTGACTTGACAGAGAGGCGAGATTTGTGGTGCACAAGCGTCAGATGATACCAGAAACCCGCATGGAACTCGAACGACTTGAATACAACATCTTGCTTGGAGGAAGATGCACTGTACACCTTGAGCTTTTTAGTAATAGCATCAATATAGATTTTAAAGATGAGGTTTGTGTCATCCCACACAGTCAACAGCGACAAATTGGAAATATCGTCCTGCTGTTCAATATGAATCCAGGAGAGCAAGGTGTAGCCAGGGTTAGAGGGAGGAAAGTCGTCTAGCTGAGGCAGTTCCAAGCAAGCATTTGGATTGGCACCCATATCAAACTGAATGAAATTAGGCCATCGACTGCGAGAAGCACCTTGCAAAATGAGATCCATCAGTCCGCCTGATGTATCAAGCGTAGCGCCTTCATGAACATTGAATTGCTGGAACATGTAGAGAATCTCTTGATAGCTGACACCCATGGCCATTAGCTTTTTGATGATTTGCAGTATAATCTCTCGTTCAGCGTCTTGTACAGGTTCTTGTTGTTGGTGGTTGTGAGGAAATGCACGCTGCAATAAACCAAAGATGAGGCCACTGGTGTTCAGCTTAACTTGATTGCCTCGGCTGGATTGAGCCAGAGCGTAGATGGCACACAGTACAGCGCGAGAAAGTTTAGCGTCCTTCTTGGATAGTTGCTGCTGCAAGTTCAAGATGGTAGGCGTGATTTCAGGGTTGACCACTCTAGCACCAGATGATTTGAGCACCAATTCAATGCGTTTCAGCAGATCCAATGTCACTGCTTGAGGTTCCGCGCCAGCTGGAGGAGGAGGCTCTACAAACAAATCATGCACAGATTCATCGTCCATGGCAAATGCAAACAGGATACCAAATATCTGGTGAGGTATACAGCCTTCTTTCAGTGCACCTGTCAATGTAATGGCATTCTCCAATGATCCATATCCCACATTAGTGAGGAAATACTTTTTGTTGACATCGTAATCATGCATAGATTCAGCCAGTACCGAGAATATCGTCTGAATCACAGCAACAATCTTGTTTTGCACTGTTTCCAAGCTCTGGTGGTTTTCAAACCGCTCTGGTTCTTCAAAGGCACCTTCCAATGCTACAATCATTGATACCAGGCTCACATAGCCGCCTACTTTTCTGAATATATCGCGAGTGGATTTGTGCGCTTTAAAGATGCGTTTGATGGTTTTGAGCACTTCCAGTCGAAAGTCCAGGTCGTCTCGAGGAATGTATTGGATGGCTTCCATGACCCTACTAAATGCATTGCCTGCTTCGGATCCAGGTGACGATGGTGATCCTGGCGAGGGCGATTCACTGAGAGAAGAAGGTGATTTGGCATCGTACGCATGACTGGACAAGCTTTCGAATAATCGCAATGCGCCAATACGGGTCTCTGGATATTGCAGTAAATCAAACAAGTTGCCCCTGTATCTGCAGGATAAATGTAAGTAATCTAGAGCACGCACAAGTATATACACACAGATTTCTAGAGAACTTACAACTTTCTGAACGCTACTACATTGCTAGGAGTGCAGGTCATGGCGATGATACAATCAATGATCTGATCAAAGTGTTGCAGCGCATGTTGCAGGAACTCGTCATTCGTAGCGTGTGCTTGCACTTTTTCAGTGACATCTGACAGCATCAAACTCATAATGTTGATAAGGCCAGCCTCTTGAACGACAGTATAAAACTTGGGTGATGTTTTGACAAGTTTTGTCAGGTATTTACAGATCAAAGCAATCATTTTTCCAGATGAGCTGCCTATGGATGTGTGTAAGCATTGGATGTGGGATGCAGAGCCAGCAACTTACTCTGAAGATGGAGGGATAATACAGCCAACTCCTTGAGTGGCACAAAATTGAGGTCCACCATGATAAAGATCAGTAGCTCCATGATCCCGTTTTGAATCTGAATATCATAGTTTTCCATGCTCTCAATGAATTGAGGGACAGAATTGGTATACTCTAAAACAAAATAATTGCATGGATGGACCTGGATAATATCCTTCATGGCACTGAACAGTTGAAATCGCAATGGAGCGGGTATTTCATGTCGGGTGGGTGTCGTTGGGTATAGAAATGACGCTAGCAGGCATTGATATGCTGGTGTATTTTTTACAATTTTGTCTGTCATTCCAGGCATGAGTAACGCTATTGCTTTCATCGTGAGGCATGCCAGTTACCTGTGTGGCCTCTTGGCTGTGGAGTCGAAAAGTCTGCATGCTGGTAGGGAAGGCCATCTGAGAGAGATGGAATTGGACTTGGCTTACCTACAAAACTTAAATCCACTAGCCTATTCACAATGTCCACCTAAAAGAGGAAAGTATTAATTACCTCGTAACGGTAAACATGAACACAAGTTATGGGAACCTTTAAATCCACTATAGCATCACTGAATGGACCCAGTTTCAGTATCCTACACAACAGTTCGTATCCTTGCAGCATCTCCTCGAATAACCCATAAAACTGTATTTTAGCCGATCTCTCCAGTTGAAAGTAAATCAGACTCAATCCAAGGTTGATTTCTCGGTAATCCACGCATGTCAAATAGTCCTTGGCTATACAGTCCCTCCATAGTCGAATGACCAAATCAACACAACGGCGATGATGCAGGTACTGACACACTTCGCCGTTCATGTCGACTGATGTGAGTATATCCACCGCCTTTGTCTTCCACATCAAATAGGCAGGTTCGCTGGTATCTTGAGCCACACTCTCGATGGGCTTAGCTGTCATAATTCGTATCATCATGAAAAATGTGTCTTCTGTAATCAGTCTGTGTAATACAGACACATTCTTTACACACTGTTTCAAAATATCGGCCATCGTATTCCCCACATCCTCAATGCTGACCATGTCCTCGACGGGTGGTGGCTGTTGGTAGTATGACGGTGCTAAATCGATGAAGGATCTGAATAATTTGATAATCACGGATGGTATTCTCTGTTGCAGCATCAGCAGTAAGATGGCATTCTGTTGCGCACAAACCTCGTTAGCTGATAGACAATGCGGGTAGCAAGATCACTTACTGGCCCAAATGATACAACTCGAATGGCTCGTATAACATTGTACAGGTGTGATTTTGACCTTAAATTATCCATCAATGCTAATTTCTCTCGAAATTAATTTTCAGCCCAATTTACAATTGCCAACAACTTGCCTTGGCTAGATTCTGATTTACTCTTGTGCTCTGGCACTTTGCGTATACCACTGATCAGCTCCTTGGTCAAGTTGCTCATGAAATCACGGTCATCTGGAATCGACTCGAATACAAATGCATTTCCAAACTGTTCGTGTGTTTCAATCAAAATGGGTAGAAATTCAAGCAGAAATCCTTGAGATCGTTCCTATGGGTGTATGCGAGAGAGTGATTAGCTGTGGATACATGTAGGGTTCAGTCTTGTGTGGTGTTACTTGTTCATTGGAGAGTAAATCATTGCATCGCTGCCAAATGTCACGTATACGTGCTTGCTGCTGTTCTTGTCTATATACACATTTACATCAATACCAATGGTTGTTCTCATCCACCGGATGACAAGTTACCTCTGGAGCTCTTCCTTTGATATGGATGGTTCCTCAGCGCTTTTGTTTATCGTATTTATTCTATCGACCCAGGATCTCCACATTGTTGCAGGAAGAAGAAAGGTTTAAAATATCGCAAAAATTGCTAAATTTATAAGAAGGGGTGTCTTTTAATTTGTGAGGCGACACAAACACCTTTCTCCTCCGAGATTGTGTACTTGATTGCTGGGCATGTCATACAAAGCGTCTGTCTATTGCTCTTGCCTTGGACGCCTCAATCAATGGACTAGTATGCTTGGATTGATTGGTATCTTTAGATTTCACCAAAGAAATAATCGGATTAACTCTTTGCTTATACTATTATTCATAAAAATGATACGCAGTGAAGATGGCCGTTGTCGTGCTTTGATTTGGAAAGCAGTGTGTCAATGCAACTTCAAGACTGATACATGCGATTGGATCTTCAATGCTGGTATAGCATTTTTGAACAGAGCCAGTGCAGTCATTCATTGTTTTTATAGACACGCATGTATGTGTACAAGTTAAGACTTGATTGTGAGGAAAGAGCAGCATCCAATGTTGTGCTTTTGATTATTGCAAAGTGCGTACTTTTATTTCAGTCCATACGAAAATCTAGTAGCGTTTATCTTTGCCTCTGTCTTCATTTTCGTTCTCACCTTCATAATCATTACCAAGATCACTCCTTTCATCTTCCTCATATTCACCATAATGTTTCTTGCCTTTATGTTTATAATATATGTATTCATGGTCGTGATCATCAACAACACCATGATTGACATCGCGTTCTTCATCAAACTCTTAAAGTCTTATACTCCAAACTCTGAGCCATGTTCAAAGATATCCTCGTCATTGCCCACGTATTAGTATATTTGATGGTGATGATGGGTGTCATGCTGACATACAGGCACTTGTTTATCATGGAGAAATCCTTGTTTATATTGCTTTTGTGTCCTTGTGACATGATGCTGATGTACATGACATTGAATGGTACCTAAGGAGAGATAGTGTTAGATTCCTGAATTCAAATGAAGCTGAAAGAGCTTACTGGTTTCTGTTGGGCAGCAAGTAGATGATGGGGCTGTTAGAAGGTTGATTTCGTAGCTTGTTGAGAAATTACTTGAGTAGTACTTACTTGAGATGGGGTAGCTGTTTGAGTCAGTACTTGATGGACTTTTGCTACTACTTGAGCTGCCTTCGGTGCCAACGTTGAACTACTACTTTAGCTACTATTGTCGCTGATGCTACTTGAGCTGTCGCTGCTGTTATTTGGTTTGCTACTGCTTGAGTCGGCATCGCTATTGCTTAAATTACTGCTTGAATGACGCTTAATGCTGCTTTCTTTACTATTACTGCAGTTTATGCTACTTTCTTCAGCATTACTTTCTTCGCTGCTGTACATATCGGTATGAGTGTCTGGGATTGATGAGCCGTAATAATCATGCTTATGATCCGTAGTATTGTTCTTAAATACGGGAATGAAAATGTCAGTAGTAAGATAACTTCCATCAATCGACTTAATTATGGACTACAATGCCACTGCCACTTCAGCGATAATAATGTGCTACGATCTATCCAGCAAATTCACCATGAATTACATCAATAATATGATCTAACAATAGAGTATGGATAAAGTGTGCCAATAAGCTGCATTTTACGTAAAATTCAAAGCTTCATTCAGCAAACAACCTTCCTTTCGCCTAATCCACAGACACAAACCCAAAGCGAGCGATTCCTGAGCGAATTCTGAGCTTGAACCTTGGATGTAAATCTGGATGGATATTGTTCCAAACTGACATTTTTGGAAAATTTAGAACCTTTAAAGCGTTTTTTCGTGTCAATGAGGCTACTAAACTTTCATAGGCGCTCTAGCAAAATACATCCATTTGGGTGTGCTCTATTCAATGGCACTTTTTATTTTTGCAATACGGTTGGAGATTATAGAGATAGTCTCAATAGACTGCTTTTTCAGTTTATTGGCAAAAAGTCAAAAACATTGGCTGGCATGCTCCAAATAAACGTTTTCATCAGATAAAGACAAGCTTCTGGAGCAATTTCATCTAATATACACCTTAGTAAAAAGTCTCGTTTTTCGACTGAAAAATTGACATTTGTCTGATTTGCGATTTTTTCCTTGCTACTACAAGGCTAAAATCGTCAAATTTTGAGGATGAAAAAAGTTTTCCAAAAAAATTGTAGAATGGTACCAAATCGAAAGTACTACTCTGTAGCACTCGTTTGGTGTCATTTTCAGAGCTAGAAATAGCTTCCATCTGAATAATTTTGACATCCAAGATTGTAAAAATGGCGGCTTTTTGATCCATGGTTCTGTCGTTTATGAATTGATTTAATCTCTGGATTTATACCAACGTATCATTTCGTTACGACGTCGTAGCCGGAGCCATCTACAACCCCTTTTGAAAAGGTTTTAACGGAGTTGTCCTTCATTATTAACTGAAGTTTCAGTGAGACTATATTCCAAGTATTTATTCAACATGATGCAAATATATATTAGCATAATTTGCATTCAATGCCTCATAATAACATGTGTGTACCATATGCTTTTGCACTGACAGCATAGCTGACGTAAAAATCGCATAAAGACGGTGGATCCAATATACATAGATTGCACAGTCAAGCAGGGTCTAGTCAAAAACGTGAATCCTTCTGCTTTCCTTTTTTCTATTTATCTTTCACTCGACATTTCTCTTTACAATGGCCACCGGTAAGACATGTTCAAGTTCAAAGAGCCTGTCTAGAAGGAAAGTAGCAAGCGCGCTCGTACAGATTCTGTCACCCTCATGGCAGTGTCAAGCTCCGGCCCCTCCTCATTTATCTCACCAGCTGCTGAAAACAAAGCAGCCCATATCAACTTTGAAATTGAAATCACTGTCAGTGGCCAAGAATCCATTGAGCTTTCGTTTACTACGCAAATTATCAAGCTTTGCCATGCAGATCAAGAAGATGCTTCCTATATGAACATCTCTCTTGGCTCGGATAAAATACCTGCTTGCTCGCGCACTTGAAGTAGAGGCTTTCCGTGGTACGTCTGATATTCACATTAGTTTGAACATGTCTAATGGAGACTTTCTTGGTGGCGATGTTGACTTGCTCATCACTCGTCATATTCCACAGGATGATGTACACGCTATGGTAGCATATGGACCAACTCCTATATACAATGAATTGAAGACGGACAAATTCAGGAGAGTACTACTCAAGAACTTGTTTGAGAAGTTTACGTACGAGAAGAAAATTCAAAGAGTAAGAGGCTATGATGACTGCATTGGAGCGCTCCTTGCTGCCCCGATTGACACTAGGCCCTGTATCTGCCTATCGCTCTGCACTCATTCGCATTTGTACAACGCTGGCTAAGGCTGATTCCATCAATTTGTAATAGACAACTTTCTTCGTCTTGCAGTATACGACAAAGAATTGCTTCCGATCCGTGATGCCATCCTCGCAGAGCACCCTTTGCCTCCAGTCACCGAAAAGAATCCTGTTGATCTCTTGCGAAAGATCATTACAAATCTGGATGATTTGCACCTGATGAAACTTTTACTATCAATGACAAAATCCGTATCAGGCTCAAACAAGCTCTTGATTATTAGTGGTGACGAGGATAGGGGTAAAACTGAATATACAGACAGCATGGAAACCCGATGCAGTGATGAAGACGTATGCAAACATTCGAACAGCTGCCTTAAATTGAAAGCAAATAAGAGGTCTTGGATGATTGAATCTGCTGCCTCTGGAAACCCTGAACTCCTCATCTCTGGTACGACCATTGGGAGTACCGTGATGTTATCAATGAGATGACAGCTATCCATTCACTTTAAGTATATCTTCAGTCGTCTTCTTTATATCTAACCCGATTCCAAATAAAATTGAAATGTTTGGAATTTTGTTACCACTACCTCTTCTTGTCTATTCCTCAGCGCATGCATACTCATACTCTTTCCGCCTAACCAAATCTCGCACTTCCCCTCAGTGATGTGATGTTTAATTAAGTGTTACACTGGAAAGAGTGTACATGTAGTTTCTACTAGTAACTAAGACTACTGGCATTGTGCTTCATTATGTATGATTAGTGTGTTTTATCGTTTCATATATAATACAGGCAACATCTGGACCAAGAAAGAATCTTTTTCTTGATATTTAATATACATTTACATCTTATAATCCTTATAATTAATTTACATTCATTTAAGCAATATCCATCACTTCCCACTCAGATCAAGGAACCAGATTATACTCAACCCTTGAAGGCTCACATCCAATCCCTCCCTACCGCCACAATATACACAGCAATTTCTACCAATGCAACACACATTTCACCTTACGGCTATCGCCGTGGTCTTGTTGATGATTACTGCTTTGACAGCAGAAGGTAATGTGTATGTTCTCAGTTGGCATCCATGCATGTATTCATTATTACGGAAAAAAAAACGCAGAAATCAGCATGCCTGATGATCTTGGCATCTCAAATTATGATAGTCTGCCTGGGAAATATTACATCCAACATGGCAGCTTCATTGAAAGAGGTATATATCATTCATTGCAAATCAGTAAGCCTCCAATGTAGTACAGATACTAAATTTCAAATTTAACCTTTGAAGCCACGACTCATGTATCTGACATTCAGAAACGACAACAAGATCTGGGATCTTCAAATGACTATCAGAATGAAAAGTCAACTAATGAAAAGCCTGGGGGAACACAAGATTTACAACATGATCAGTCTCAACAGCAGCAAGACACGCCTGCTCACGACCAGAATAATGACGCTAATCAGACTAATGAAAATGGTGCAACCAAAACTAATGATGCTCCATCAGCTCATGCTGAAGAGACTAATAAGGGTAGCTCAAAAGATGCATCCAGTAACGAAAATAATCAAGGACAAGGTGTAAACGATCAATCTGACGAGAAATCAACCAATCATTCGGATGATGCTCAAACAACTCGGGATCAGTCCTCTCAAGATCAGCCTACAGAAGAACATGCGCATGATAAGCCTACTCAAGACCAAGCAACTGAAGCACAAACGACAGAAACCTCTATGCAAGATGAGCATACGCAAGATAAGCCTACGCCCACTCAAACCGAATCTGATAAGCCCACTTCTGCTGAGAGTAATAGCACAGCCATGGAGGATAGACAAACTCGCACTCAAGACCACGGTGCAACCACTGATGCTGCTGCTACACCTTCTTCAGATGACCATGTACACAATGAAAAACCAACAGAGACAGACCGTTCAGGGACTGCCACAGTAGGCAACACTGTTACCACAAATGAACATCACAGCACAATCGAGAAACCTACTGAAACTGCTGCTGAAAGCACCGCAGAGACTTCTAAACAGGAACCTACCTATACCACGGACTCGCAACCTCCTGCTACTGTAACATCGACTGAAAAGGTAGAGGAGCCAACTCTCTCTGAAGTAACATCTGAAACTGAGGCTACTTTTTCAACTGAAAGAAAACCTACTCCTACTGTCACTACCAAAGAATGGGAATCAACAAGCTCAACTGAACCTACCCCTACTGTTACTGCTACATCTGAATGGGAGCCTACAGCAACGGATACCACGACTGAGCATGAGCTTACAACGATATCTGAAACTGTTGATGAGACGACTTCATCTTTGTCAAAGCCTGCTGCTACAACTGAAGAAAGTCAAACAACTGACCACGAAACATATACAACGGATGAGGAATCATTATCCTCTTCATCTGAATTTGACAATAGCCATTTGTCTTCCTATCTATCAAGCATTATATACACGGACTCTACTGCTGCTAATCAACAGCAAACTGCCTCAAATGCCATCACAACTGACATGGCCACCGCAGTCAATGATGTGCCTACAACCGATGCTGCTTCTGCTCCTGCTGCTGCTGCAACCTCCAATAGTTTAGAAGCTATCGCCAACATTGTAAGCCAAACGGACACCATGGCCTCAACGTCATCTGCAGAGGAACAAACCACATCTGCTGCTACTGAAGCTGCAGCAGCAGCAGAAACATCATTGGACACCACGCCCACCAAGTCGAGTGGGTCCATCTACTATCCTAGCTCTACTCGTTCCTTCTCTGTCACCTCCTCCACCGCCACTCCAATGCTAGTTCTTGGCGCTACTGAATGCGTAGATGATCCTCACGCTGTAGAAGGCAAATGCATCTATGAATACTTTTGCAATGCTGCCACGCATTCTTGTGTCTTTTTACTAGAGGACAACAGTGCATGCTATGAAGATTTTCAATGTGCCTCTACTTATTGTACAGATCACATTTGCGTAGCTGCACCTGAAAGCAAGCAATCAGGTCAAGGAGGTAAAATTGCGGGCAGCGTTATAGGATCTGTGGCTGGTGCTGCCGTGCTTTTGTTTGGCCTCATTCGTTGGCGTAAGCGATCTCAGATCATCAATCGTAGAATGAACAGATTTCGATCAAATCACAACAATGAAAAGCCAGCATTCTATGACGCTACTACGACCATCTTGCCAGCTACAGCCAACGCTAACAATGAGTACCACAGCACCGATCAAGGCAACGCTAGGCTCTCCAAATATAACTTTCTGGCCAACATGTTGAATTCAGAGCCTCCAGTGACAGCACCACCACAACAGCAACCTCATTATGCTTTAAATGCTGATCATTTCACCATACCTGTAGCAGCTACAGAAAGAGGTGCTGCTGCTCTAGCCAAACAATCAGACTACAATCCCTTCAGACCTGCCATGACTGAGAGCTCAGACCCCTGGACACAGGAAGACTATCAATCACTGAAGAAGCCAGAGAACAAGACAGTTTACAGCTACATTTAAACGGCATCCTGGCAGATTATAGTATCAACTTCCTAATAAAGAACTTACACAAATTACGGTTTCATTAAGTACCTGCTCCATCATAAATCAACGGTACCTAGTTCATGCTTGACATGAAAGACACATCAAACTTTGGACTCCCACCCATCTAGCCACATTAGAAAATGTCAAGAGGATTGGGCTATTCTCAAACCAAATGTACACATTAAATGTTGACGTTTATTCCACTTGTACAGCACTTGCTCTCGAGCTATTGGAATCAGATAGCATGGCCAATTCATATCATGGCGAGCAAGAAGACGTTGGATGTGCCATCATTTGAGTGCAAGTAAAGTTGGAGTGTGCAGCGTACTGGGGAATATCAGCAAGTGAAAAATGCAAGAACCAACAGGACTATTTTGAACGCATTGTGGGTGAAAATCCCAAGAGTAATGTATAATTTGTGTTGGCCATGGATTGGGTGGGTACGTGAGCCAACCATAATGGGATTTCGGCCTCAAATTGATTGCCAATCATTTAGGATCGCCCAGCTGTTGGCGGATAAATCATGTTGCTTGGAGGAACATATTTGATGACAAAGGCTTGACCACAGTGCACCATAGCAATAAAAGCTATTTTAGTACTTGCAGTCATCAAGCGAAGCTGAATAAATTCATCGAGCCTGCGTCAAATGCTTGAATTGGAAGGCTCGAAAGCACTAATTGGGAAGTCCAAAAGCGGCAATAGGCTTTCAGAAAGCGCTAATTGGCATTGGAGGCACTATAATCCAATAGACATTACGAAAAGGACATTGTTGTGTTATATAAATAGAGATGGCAACATGTCAAATGTTTGAATAAAACAACTATAAATAGCCCTTCTTGGCATCATCGACATATGGCAGCGATGTATTTGACGTCTTGAAAGAAATGGTGTGGTGCGTTCTCAATTAATATATATCAATTTGAGTCGAGAAAGGTGGAGTTTTGTTTTCTTCTGATCCAAAATTACTAAAATCATCTTTTTTTGCACCACTAGTAATTAATTTTCCTCTTTCTTTCCTTACTTCCTTCTCTTTCTTTTCCCCTCTTTTTCTTTTCGCTTTTTTTTTTTTAAAAAAAACCTCCAACATGAATTCAACGAGTGGAAATTCAACGGCAAACCCGCTCGGATTGGCAGCAGATACACATGGTTCATTATACAAGTTAATTGGTGTCACGCTAGCTATTTGCAGTGGTAAGAGCATGACGTCTGGTTCAAGCAGACAGAGAGAGAGAGAGACTCATACCATGTACATAGGTATCTTTATTGGTAGCAGTTTTGTGTTTAAAAAGAAGGGATTATTGCAGTCGACAGAGAAATCAGGTAATTAAATTGATGGATGATGCATGCAAGGATCTGTGATTGACATATCCTGGGGGGACAGGTGGTGTGGCAGGCGAAGGCTATGGCTATCTCAAATCGCCCATGTGGTGGTCGGGAATGATCCTCAGTAAGTGTATTCTCTCCACGTTACCATGGCGCATTGCATTGACATCTGATTCTATAGTGGTGGTGGGTGAGGCATGCAATTTCGTAGCATATGCATTTACACAAGCCATTTTGGTGACACCTTTGGGTGCATTGAGTGTTGTATTAAGGTAGGCATTGGAGACAGAGAGAGAGAGAGGGGGGGGGGATAAAAAGAAGAGTAAGGACTCATCACCGTATAAAAAAAAACAGTGCTGTATTGTCCTCCATCTTTCTCAAGGAAAGACTGTCATTCCAAGGAAAAGTAGGATGTTTGCAATGCGTCCTGGGCGCTATTATCATTGTCATGCATGCCCCAGAGCAGGGCGCTGCTGATACCTCGATCGAGACATTCAAACATCTCATGCTCTCTGTCGGTAAGAGACGGTACCCACATGGCATTTATTGAACCCCATATCTAACTGATTTGTACAGGTTTCCTGATATACGCTTGTATCGCAGTAGCTCTATCAATATTCCTGGTGTTTTATTGTGGACCTAGATGGGGAAAAACAAACATGCTGGTCTACATTAGTATCTGCTCACTTATTGGATCTTTATCGGTGGTGTTCACTCAAGGCATTGGTGGTGCCATCGTCCATTCATTCACTGTAGAGAACCAGTTTACCAATTGGTTTGTGTATCTAGTATTGATCCTGACATTGGTCACTTTGGCCATTGAGATCATTTACCTCAACAAAGCTCTCAACATCTTCAACACAGCTGTCGTCACTCCCACCTATTACGTTATCTTTACGACACTCACTATTGTCAGCTCCATTGTGTTTTACCGTGGTTTCGACGCATCACCTGTCAATGTCGTTACATGTGTCTTTGGTTTCTTGATCATTTGTTCAGGCGTTGCCTTATTACAGCACTCAAGAAGCGAAAAGACCAGAGGAGACCCATTGTTGGGCGACTCATCCAGTCCACAAGAGAGTTTGTTGCCCGTGTACGAGAATGAAAAGTACTTGACGTCAGAGGAGGAGGTAAATCACATTGAAGATGTTAGCGGATCTTCATCCACTGCAGATCAACGCAGATATTCGTCACACGCGAGAAAGGATTCATCGTTATGGCACAGATCCAGAGCGTCGTTAGAGGATTACAGCAAAGTGGAGTTGGGCCATTCCCGAGACAATAGTTTTACAGAGAATATCAGCCTCAATACTATCAAGCATGATAAAACACCACATGATGACGACATGGTGAGAGATTCAGGTACGTTATATAGGGGAAGACCATAGCATACGAGCGACTGACATGCTATTCAATCTAGTGGACATGCTTGTAGACCATAGCTATGAAGAATCCAACAGTAGCAGCAACTCCACCAAGTTTAATAGCAGCAGACGTGCGCAGGACACACTCGACTCGATTAGCAGCATACGATTGGGATTAAACAAAAAAAAGGGACAGGATGATAGAAAAGGATTGATCAAAAATACAAATGGCTGGGATAATGACCAAGACCATTTAATCTAGAGACACTGTTTGTATAACACACTCTAACTCTCACTCACCTACCCATCTATATAACCTTAATATCACCCATCTATTCTCTCCTTGTACATTAATTTTATATACACTCGCCTTATTACTCCAAAAAGCACCAATAAAAGTATTTAGTTTTGCTTATCCATCAATCACTTGAGGTGCTTGAAGTGCTTTATTGGATGATATACATATATATATAGGTAACAGAGGTGATAATTTATAGTGAAGGGAAAGGGGGGTATTTTTTGTGGTATACGAGATAGCGAATAATGATACATGTTTAGACAAGTTGTTGCTTCAAAGTAGCATAGATTTGCTTGCCAAACTTTTTGTCGTCAGCCAATAGTTGATATGAATCGCCTTGATTGGTGTAGATCATGTAAGAATTGGGTACAAATGTATCTTCATCTTCGTCGGCAGGAGCAATGCGCTTCACATCATGGCTATAATTGACAGTCGACATAGCGCCTTTGCACTGTTTAGGTATAAGTACATTTGCATCTGGGACCACGGGTGCCACACTTACCATTTCATCCTTGTAGAGCAAAAACGCTTGGTTGTTGATAACAAAGTAACGGCGCTTCCAAAACTAGTATACACGTCAATTATACATGTACAATCATGACATGTTAGAAATCTACACTTACTGGGCTGACATTTGTTTGCACGGAAATGAAGCCTGTCATCAGTGTGGTCGCTGATTCGGAAGGAACCTTGACCTGAAATAAACAGCAGAGATTAGTTACAATATCGTATCATTTATTATGTGCTACCAAATGCTTCGGGTGTAATGGAACTTACCTCCTTGATTACGTCAGGTGATGCAACTATCACTGGCTCAGCAGCAGCAGCAACAGGAGCAGTTTTGACAGTAGTAGGCTCTTCTACAAGCATGGCAATGGCAGGAGATGGTGGTATAATATCTTCTGGTTTCTTGGTCTGAAGATCATGTACGCTTTTCTGCTTCAACAGTATAGACTCTCGTTTTCTAGGCTCCACTGGCATTGTCGCGGATCTAGGTGTTGATTTGAGCTGCACCATCTGTAATGGTGTTTGAGGACCAGGGCTAACTGATCGTTCAGGAATCTGTATTTTGGAAAGCATTGGCGTTTGCAGTTGCTGCAATGGCTTTAAAGTGTATTCATTTGGCTGTGTTGGCTTTAGCTCTACAGTAGTCGTTGATGGCTGATCTTTTGCGGCTTGCTGCTGCTCTTGCTGCTTCTTCAGTTTGCGCTGTATTAGCTCTTGCTGCCATTTGGGCAGCTCTTTCTGTTTTGTAGCCTTTTGTTGCTGCAGTAGCGATTGTCGCTTTTCTTCTTCTTCGATGCGCTTGATAGATTGCTCTCGCTTGAATCGTTCCTCTTGCTGATCTCTTTGAAATTGACGAAATCTCGCTTCTTCCAACTCTTTCTTCTTCGATAGCTGGAATTGAAGCATGGCTTCTGTATGATCTTGCAATCTCTTGCGCTCTTGCTCATCGACGACGGAGTTGAAGCTCGTGTTATTGTCTGCTGCTACAGCAAAGTACGGCGATTCGCTATTGTTATACGACGACGAGGCAACAGATGTGGGCGTAGAGGGAGTGGGTGTTGCTGTCATGCGTTCGGAACTATCCTCGTAAAACGAATAAGGTTCTTCTGTGGTGTTTAAATGAAGCTTCAAGTTCCTCTCGGATATCGGAGAAGGTGATGATGGTGTTGGCGTGGTGGGTGATGGTGAGTATGTGCCAGATCTACGTCGCCTTTGCTGAACAACGAATGATGCTCGTTTAGTTACCGACCGAGGTCTATTAGGCACTTGATTTTGACCTAATTTAAGTCTAGTCCGTACATTGGTATCACTCAAATCCGATAGACTAGATGCTGTAAATTGAGCATGCGAGAGTTCTAATACGCCAGCTACAGCTCGACTATGGACAAGTGCTCGAGCTAGATACGTGTTAGATATTTCACATCGTAGGACTATTTTTCACTCTATGTGTACCTCTTCTTACACCACTTAAAGTCAAACCAAGAAAGTGAGTTATGGGGCTATTCGTTGATGATGTTCAAAACCAGGGGCTTACCTAACACTATCAGGCACATAGGTGATCAGGATGAATTTATCCTCCACTCGGACAAATCCAAATAAGATCTCATTTGTCAAATTGTCTCGAAATTCACTGCCATTTGCATTAGCATCTTGGATCATACGGGTCATGCAATCCATACATACCTAAGGCCATGAACACCACTGGCGTATAAAGAGATAACGTCTCTAGTGTCTCTGTATCCAAGAATCAGCCTATACATCTGTGTTGAGTATACAATAGCAGCATGCCATTACGATAAAAGCAAAAGCATTACCAATCTGTAGGCTCTTCTTCAGTGATGGCTATATAAGCATTCAGTATGCGAGGGTCGTTGATATTACACATTTTTAAATATTTAAAAGAGAAAGAAAAGCAACTTAATTAAACCATGCTACATTTTATATACATCCTTTCTATTGGTTGTGTTACAGTACGGTATATCGAATGTGAGCCGAATGTGTGTTTGTGTACACTCAAATGTCTGTTTGTGTGTGCTGATTCGATGAGCACCAAGAGCAAGTACTACTACTAGACAACTGATTTACACGAGGCCCTATTTGATTTCATTACATTGTTGCATGTACATTACGAAAACGTGATTTGCCTTCTGCTTGTGTCTCCCATCCTTCTTCTACATACGATTAGACGGCACCTGGTATTCCGAGTGGAATGTGTCTTGTTGTCTCTTTCAAAGCAAACAACAGATTTAACAAGGCGGAGATGTCTATTCTCATTATTTGTTACATCATGTACCCTCTTTTAATGCAGCAGCAGCAGCAGCAGCAGCACAAGCATCAACAAACGCATGATGCTAATCTTATTTATCGTGTGCTAGCCGTTAATGATGGTTGAACGATATGCAAGCTTATCCTAAACCACTGTTGTAACCATCAGAGAAAGCACGCTTTTCAAATTACCATGTAAAATGTTGCAGCTGCAACCTGTTGTTTCCAGCTGACTCAAAATGTTCCTCCACTCCTACTATCTCTTCTTTGTTGTCCAAGAATTTCATCAATATTATCATATGTATGTGAATCCACTTGCTGTAAAGCATCCATGATAGATTAAGCCCAACCTCCACGGCTACACATGTAGCGAATCACCATAATGTGTAGTTCGTTTAGTGGTTTTTAAGGCCGCGTCTGCCATTACATACACTGCGAATAATACTGCGTACACCTTTCTCTGTAAAGCACATGCGTTTTTTCGCGCGAGGTAGCCCACATATCAGAAAAAGACCATTGCATCAATTGGGATAGTCTTTAAGTAAATAAGAGAGCAATTCTACAACAAATACCAATATTTGGTAGCAAACGGAGCATCGCTACTATTATTGGGAAGAGGAGGTCATATTATATAAGCAGGGAACGAGATATCCCCTATTCCAAATTATGTCGAGCAACGGTTATTTAATATGGAGAGTAGGTTATTAATGCAAGCTTGCTCTGAATGAGATTTGCCTGTGATACTTCTTTTTTTTTGGAGCAATTGAGTAACTATGCTTACAGTAATTATTTTTATCTCATAACCAAGCATCAAGTCAGAAACAACTCGATGAGTGGCACATTAAGAAAAAACAGCAATCAATGCCCAAGACGCTCGTCAGCTTTCAGGCATTCCTATTGAAGCCCCAGAGTTGATAGGAGATAATGGAAGCAGCCATACTCTCTGAAATTCGTTTAGAATATCAAGAGACGACACATTTCTTTTATATGACAGTTCTTAAAGACCTTGTTGCAGTTGCAGAAAAAAAGCATTGAAGGCTGAAGCCAAGTAACCGAAGCCAACAAAAGAAGCCGAGGACAATCCAACTGGGAAAGGAAATCTCAATACAACAAAGATTACATCTTCGAAGACTTGAATCAACACATGAGTAATAATAAATATAAATTAAAAAGCGTCCCAATATGATGTCTGTTGCATACAAGCATGCATCTTAGGCTACATTCACTTTCTCCTCAAGCCACCTTTTACAGTGTAGCAGCATAGATAATGTTTATCGTAGCACATCACAGCTATGTTTACAAGTCCAGTCAATTATGTGTGCACAGGTGCCTCAGGAACTACAATACATTCAATCTCCCCAATGTCAAGATATCGAGATCCACCTACACTACATGAAACATATCGACTTAGGTGGCCTCTCAACAAGCTATACCAACAATCCATAAGGCCCCAGTGGCCTGCTATTTATATACCATCTCAACGTAGTAGTCATTGACCAGGGATCTACCATATTTAAGCAAGCTAGATGCCCTGTAATAAAGAAGTTTTTTGCTTTCGTTTTGAGATACAGTTGACAACTGATTATTATCATCGACTTATTATTACGAATTCATCAATGTCAGTCAGGCCTGAAATGAACTAGACTAGATTCCCATCATAAACAAAGCCCAAAATAAATGTCATCTCAATCAAACCATGCTACCATCATCAGCAGATAAGCATGCACAATAATAGTATTAGCATGATGATAGCAAGGGTTAAATGCTCTAAAATAAGAGATGACAGATACTAAAGTAAATGTCAAGGGTATTGTTATGTGTTGTAACATAAATATACCTAAAAAGGATACAGGCTCAACAACAAAGAGCTATTCTTTACGCATGATTCAAAAACCATATATTGAAATACCGTTCTTGATCCATCAGATCAACAACTAAATGACCCAACAAAAATATATAAAGTAATGGAATCACTGGCAACTACTAAACAGCTGCCAGATAAGAGATATAAACCAAATAATATAAATAGAGACGTAGAATATACATTTTATTGCACATTATCCAAATTTCAAATAAAGAAGGATTTTAACAGTATTCTACCTGCTTTTTTAACCCCTTTTTTTACTGCAAGGCCTCGTAAAGCAAAAAGCGTACGCAGTATGTTATTATCTCTTTTCTGTGCATAATAGATTTAATAGACATCCCTCATCACAACAAATAGTATCATGGATGCCCGATCAAATGGTTGCATCTTGTCTTGCTTTAGAATATATAAAAGAATTTAAATTATAACTGTTTAGATACACTTTTATTACAAACAAAATATAACGTTCAAAGACAGATCAAGAAAAGATCAACTAGTTATTGCCCTTTGGTCCCTGAACCTCTGAGCCAATCAAATTGCTTGAAAACTCCGCTGACCTAAAAAAAAATTTGCGAGGGTTTCCCTCTGTTTTGATGTGAGGCAAAATTTTAAGCGCCGCTATAATAGCAATATAGCCGCTGCTATCATCAAACTTCCCCCAGGTGCTAGAGCATGCCTTACTTACACCACCTAGCTTTAAATTCAGGCATTGAGACCCTCAATCATCACTAAAGTAAGTAGTGATAACCAAGTGGAGGCGGCCTATCTACCTCCTAGCCTCGGATAAAGTCTTGTTGAGCTTCAGGGATAGGCACATCCACACAACGTAATAAAGATGTATGCTTCACAAGAAACATAATAATAAAAGAAGCGAACATAATAATACTATAGGAGTATAGTAGTATATGTAGGCAAAAGAAAAAAAAGAATGCTCACACGAAGTGAACCAAAGGAAAGTATGTTATGAATAAAATATTAAAAATGTTCACGTTATTATATTCTTGTTATTGCAACAAAAATACATACATGAGCAATGTGCATGATAACAGTCTGATGATGTAAAAGAACACAAATGCGCACAATTGCAGGAGCAAGAGTAGCAGCAGTATAAGTGTTGTAATACAACATGAAGACCAATGTTGTTTTCATGTGAAGCGACAGAGGCAATACAAACAACAATCCACGGTTATATAACAAAGTATCACAAGAAGGGCAATACAATTATATAGCAGTGTGTCATGCTTGCTATTCGTAAATACGAAGCAACAACATTGCAAGTATTTGTTGAGCTGATTATATCACAGCCAACAAAAAAGAAAGAAAAGGCAATAAAGCAAATAGCATGAATGCATTATCGCGGGAAAGGAAGCAGTAGTACAAACGTTCAAAGAAGTTTATATCATTGCGACCACAAGAAAAAAAAGTTACTTACCGCTTACCATAGCCAAGGAGAGACCAGAAAATAGGCAATCACCAGAGATAGACCAGAGAACAAGCATACAACAGAGACAGCAGACCAAGAAAGACCAGACTAGCAGCAGAAAAACTAGCAGCAAGACCATTTGCAACACAATGAGTAACACCAGCAGCAACACCAGCAGCATCGCCAGCATGAACACCAGCAGCAACAACAACAGTGTAGAAAAACCAAAGAACGAATGACACCAGAGACCAGACAAAGATTAACGAAGCAACCGCCAGAGATAGAGACAAAGAAGCAGCTGCCAGACATAACAACCAAAGAAGCAAAGAGCAGAGATAGCAAAGAAGTAATGGCAGCAGCACCTATGTCAAACAGGCAAAAAAGACTATCGAAATCTAATAAACAACCTCGATTAGTGCTTGTTCTACATCTTTCTGTGCTCGTTATCGAATGGTACCTACTATATTCCACTTCAAAGAAGCAGTATCAAACGCTTTTAACCGTGCAAGGCCGTGTTATCAGAAGCTAGAGTGTTATTTTCAACCAAAGGTTTCCAAAACAATATGGTTTGATACGAGTCGCGTTTTGGAAAAAGGGCCAAAAAAAACAGTGTATCGAAAAATAAGAGGGCGCTCTATCCGACGTCACAACCATGAGATTTAGCCTCAGCCTTTTGCCGTGGTAGCCGTAACTGCTGCACTTTAACTTGAAATTGTGTAGTGGGTATTTTCGTATTCAAATTTGACTTGATTTCACATCCTTTAAACATTTTTGCTAAATTTGACTACGAGAGCTCTCGTTGTTATACTTTACTTTCTAATGCATTTATAAAGAGTCAATGAAGGCGCATCGAATGATGTTGGTTACATTCAAATTTCAGACCGAAAATAAAGAGAAATCTGGAAATTTTTGAAAATAGGTTTTCTGCGGAAATGTCAAAATTTAGCATATACAAGTCCCAAAAAATAGTCTCCAGTGTTGTCTTTCATCTTTGCGATCAATTTGGTCTAATATGTATCATAGAAAAAGTTTTCATTCTTGGGGTGAAAACCGCATCGTTTGATTTTGACGAATTTTACCTTGCTAATACTCATGTAAAAACGACGATTTTTATGAATTTGCAATGGCCCAAAGAAAATTGAGATAAAGCATCAATAAGTAAGGCGCAACTAAGAAAATCTGTTTGGCGCTATTTTAAGCATCCAAAACGCTTTGTGGCATAAGTTATTCGAGCTTGAAAATGGCTAGTTTTGAACAGAATTCGACCTAAAAATAAGGTATAGTAGGCTACGTTGCTTAACAAGTAAGTAAATCACAGTTCTTTTTGATGAAT